ATGAGACATGGCTCACAGCTGCATCCCTCCATGTGAGACAGGGCTCACAGCTGCATCCCTCCATGTGAGGCATGAGAGAGTGTGTTAAGGCAAAATGAAGAAACTGCTTTCCCTACTGTGATTTCATTAAGACCTCTGGTAGACCTATGCCATTTTTACTTGAGCAAGAAGTTTTTCATAATTAATCTTTAGGGAAACTGACTTTTCTCCACATTGTCTTCCCGTAATTGCACTTCCTTGCCCATTTGTATTTTTGCTTATGGTTTCCAGTAATAGATCTGTCATTTGCAAAGTTGTTAATTTACCTATATCCATATATCATCAACAACCAGTACAAAATTTTTTTTCAGGAGTAATATTTGGTCTAACAAAAATGAGAGTAAATTAATCAGATATTTAGTGGATTAAGTGGAAAATTTCATCAAAGTCAGGTTGTTTCCCAATAGTTTTAACAGAGATTGTAATTCAATAAATTAAGCTGAGATATTTTGTGTTTCTTATATGAAACAAGAAGAGTAACAAACACAGGAGATTGCTAGAAAATAGACAAAGGTTATGCTAACAGGAAGTTTTCACTTACAGGTAGCTAAACATTGAACATAAAGTTAAATGCAGGAGGTGCGGGCCTGTAAGTTCTCTCTGAAAAAGTGACTTTTGATCACAATTAGTATTGATGCATAGCTACACTTTCACAATTAATTTATCTAATGCATTTAAAAAATCATTTCACTAAATATATTCTGATTTTAAACAATAACAGAAAAAATCACATTGATTTTGCTTCATATATGTTGGGTTTAGATTTGCTTGACCACTACCACAATCTCACATAATATTTGAGCATTGCTTGCTGATTGTAAGCCTTAAAAGATCCACTAGAACTGTAAAAGGATCAATTTGCGGTGAACTAAGGATAGTCTGGTCATCAATTTTAAGGTGAATAAAATGGGTCCAATGCTCATATATTTTGGATTGAATTAGGATTTTATTTAGGCCTTCTGATTCCACACAGTGTTTTCCTTTCAAATCATTTCCTCAGGATGTTATGCTGGCTGAAGCAATGGTTATGAGAGCAGGATATGGTGTCATTGTATCACTTGTATTTGATGGCAACACTTTGGACCACCATAATATTAGAGTAGCTTTCGGAAAAGTCACTAAGATGGAGCCACTGCAAAATGAACGCATACAAGTTGGGGTGCAGAAAACAAGTCACATGCATGTTTGCACAATGTTGTCATGCAGACCTAGGTATTACAGGAAATAATACAAACCAGGCACATATGGCTTCACTCCATACTAAGATTTATTTATCATTTTTCACTTATGGTATCATATATTAGAATATAATAAAAATTTATGATAGAGAGACAAATCTTGATTCTTGTATATTTTTGCTCTACATTTCTTCAAAAGAAGTCAGATACCTCCCACACAGGGAAGAATTCAGTCATCTTCTGGGACACAATTATGCAATAGGTTAACTGGGGACATTAAGTTCTTTAAGTCTCATATATACTGAAGACGTAGATAGAAACTTTAAATTATTCTGTGTACTACTTGGGCTTGAAGTGAGGAATTTCCTTTTCCATGGAACGTCAATTTACAACAGTGATTAGTAAATACAGTCTGAAAATTTTTCTATTTAGTGGAATTATTGCACATTTCTTGCTCTAAAATTGTAAAATTCATTTTGAGTTAATTTTTGTGTATGGTGTAAGATAATGGCCTACTTTCATTCTTTTGCATGTGGCTGTCCAGTTTTCCCAACACCATTTGTTGAAGAGACTTTCCTCTCTCTATTCTATGTTCTTGGCTCCTTTGTCGAAAATTAGCTGTCCATAGATGTGTGGGTTTATTTCTGGGCTCTCAATTCTATTCCATTGGTCTGTGTGTCTGTTTTTGTGCCAATCCCATGCTGTTTTGGTATAGCTAGACTTGAATGTAAGACCTGAAATCATGAAACTTCTAGAAGAAAAAATAGGAAGTATGTTCTTCAATATCAGTATTAGCAACATATTTTCAGGTACCATGTCTGACTGGGCAAGGGAAACAATAGAAAAAATAAACAAATGGGACTACATCAAACTAAAAGGTTTCTGCACGGCAAAGGAAACCACCAACAAAATGAAATGACAGCCAAACAATTGGGAGAAGATATTTGCAAACCATATATCTGATAAGAAGTTAATATCCAAAATATAAAACATACATCTCAACAACAAAAAAACTAACAAGCCAATTAAAAAATGGGCAAAAGACTTGAACAGACATTTCTCCAAAGAAGATATACAGATGGACAACAGGCACATGAAAATATGTTCAACATCAATAACTATCAGGGAAATGCAAATCAAAACTACAATGAGATATCACTTCATTCCCATCAGAATGCCTATAATTAACAACACAGGGAACAAGTGTCAGAGAGGATGTGACGAGAAGGGAACTCTCATACACTGCTGGTGGGAGTGCAAACTGGTACAGCCACTATGGACAATAGTATGGACATTCCTCAAAAAATTAAGGATAGAACTACCATATGATCCAGCTATTCCACTGCTGGGTATTTATCCAAAGAACTTGAAAACACCAATGCACAAAGATACATGCACCCCTGTGTTCATTGCAACATTATTCACAATAGCCAAGACTTGGAAGCAATCTAAGTGCCCATCAAGGGACAAATGGATAAAAAAGATGTGGTATATATACACAATGGGATACTACTCAGCCATAAGGAATGATGAAATCCAGCCATTTGTGACAACATGGACGGACACTGATTGTCTTATGCTATGCGAAATAAGTCAGAGGGAGAAGGTCAAATACCATATGATCTCACTCATAAATAGAAGATAAAAACAACAACAAACACATACAGACAGATATTGGATCGGTGGTTACCAGAGGAGAGGAAAAGAGGGAACGGGGTGAAAGGGATGACTAGGCACATGTGTGTGGTGATGGCTTGTAATTAGTATTTGGGTGGTGAACATGATGTGATCTATGAAGAAATAGAAGTATAACGATGTATACCTGAAATTTATACAATGTTATAAAACAATGATACTGCAATAAAATTTTAAAAAGACAACCAGAAAAAAAATTGTAAAATTCAACACAAAATTCTTTCTTTTCAATTGCAGATGAAAAAATGATAGCATCTACCGCACATTAAGTCTTTACTACTTTAGCCTGTATTTCACGTGCGTTATATGTGTTCACCTTTAAACTCCTATATATTGCATTTCCTGATTTTTCAAGTTGCAAATTGAGGCACAGAGAGGTTATTTGAAAAAGGATATACAACAACAAAGTGGTTGAACCTGGAGTCATCTCTACAGCCTGTCTCCAAATGCACAATATTAAACTAATCAGTGTATGGCTCCTTGAAACACCATAGTTGCAAATATATTGTAGCCAATATATTTATCTAAAAAGTGAATAAATCACTGCTGAATTTATTCTTATTATTTAGTTGTTATTTATTTATTCCTATTATTTAGTTAGTATTTATTCCTATTCCGTATGGAGTTAACCAAAATAAGTAATTGAGAAGAGTTCCTCTCAATTCTAGATTTTAAAAGCTTGTGTACTTTTCCTAAAATTATTCACCACAAAGGTAAAAATTTAGATAAATAAAAATAAAACAAAAAAATAAGAAAAGGTTCTACATCCCTTTAAAAATTGTCATTAGTAACTTCAAAGATATTTTCCTCTTCTTATAATGTATATATGCATATTTTTATATATTTATATATATATTTCAGAATTTGTACTACCTTTTTTGCCAATTACCCCTGAAAAGAGCTGAGACTCACCTCTTTAGATTGATATCCCCCCAAAATGGAGCCCATTAATGGAGTAGGAATGGGTACCTTATCATAATTTGGGGGCTTGAAAATGAACAGAAAAATAGAAAATAAAATACTGTAAAGTTAGTGACTGCAGAGCATGACAACTTTTATGACCTGGAAATTCAATGACTGAGTTAACAAAGTAGAGAACGTCCCCAACTTACCATAGTTCAACTTATGATTTTTTGACTTTATGATGGTGCAGAAGCAGTACACATTCAATAGAAACTGTACTCGGAACTTTGAATTTTGATATTTTTCCAGGCTCGCGATATGTGATATAATACTTCCCTGAGATGCTGGGTAGCAGCAGCAAGCCGCAGCTCCCAGTCACCCACATGATCACAAGGATAAACAACAATACGCTTCCAACATTCTGTGCCCATATAACCATTATGTATTTCACTTTCAGTACAGTATTCAATAAATTACATGAGATATTCAATATTTTGTTATAAAATACACTTTGTGTTAGACAATTTTGCCTAATTATAGGCTAATGTAAGTGTTAGGAGCATGTTTAAAGTAGGCTAGTCTAAGCTATAATGCTTGGTAGGTTAGGTGTATTAAATGCATTTTGACACGATATTTTCAACTTCCAGAGGGTTTATTGGTACATGACCACCTTGTAAGTTGAAAAAATTTGTATTTGACTGAGATTTTATGGCAATGCTCTAACAATAAACAGCTACCCATAAATGTTCATTCACAGAATGAACTGGAAACAGTTGAGGAGATTTGTAAAAATGTTATGACCACCTTCATCTGCAAGTCTACCAAATCCAAATTTCTTGGAGGATCCATTGGAGGGCAAGTCTGGTGCCAGCAGCCGCGGTAATTCCAGCTCCAATAGTGTATATTAAAGTTGCTGCAGTTAAAAAGCTCCTAGTTGGATCTTGGGAGTGGGCGGGCTGTCCGCTGCTGGGCGAGCCACCACCGGTCCCCACCCTTTGCCTCTCAGCACCCCCTCCACGCTCTTAGCTGAGTGTCCCAAGGGGTCCGAAGCATTTACTTTGAAAAACTTAGAGTTTTCAAAGCAGGCCGGAGCCGCCTGGATACCGCAGCTAGGAATAATGGAATACGATTGCGGGTCTATTTTGTTGGTTTTCGGAACTGAGGCCATGATTAAGAGGGACAGCCGGGGGCATTTGTATTGCGCTGCTAGAGGTGAAATTCTTGGACCGGTCCAAGACGGACCAGAAAGAAACCATTTGCCAAGAATGTTTTCATTAATCAAGAACGAAAGTCAGAGGTTCGAAGACGTTATACGTGGTAGTTCCGACCATAAATGATGCCGACTGGCAATGTGTCCGCGTTATTCCCTTGACCAAAAGTCTTTGGCTTCTGGGGGGAAAGTCTTTGGGTTCCGGGGGGAGTATGGTTGCAAAGCTGAAACTTAAAGGAATTGACGGAAGGGCACCACCAGGAGTGGAGCCTGCGGCTTAATTTGACTCAACACAGGAAACCTCACCTGGCAGGACAGGGACAGGATTGACAGATTGATAGCTCTTTCTCGATTCCGTGGGTGGTGGTGTATGGCCATTCTTAGTTGGTGGAGCAATTTGTCTGGTTAATTCCCATAACAAAGGAGACTCTGGCATGCTAACTAGTTACGCGACCCCCGAGCGGTCGGCGTCCCCCAACTTCTTAGAGGGACAAGTGGCGTTCAGCCACCCGAGATTGAGCAATAACAGGTCTGTGATGCCCTTAGATGTCTGGGGCTGCACACGAGCTACACTGACTGGCTCAGTGTGTGCCTACCCTACTCCGGCAGGCACAGGTAACCCGTTGAACTCCATTCCTGATGGGGAAGGGGGATTGCAATTATTCCCCACGAAGGAGGAATTCCCAGTAAGTGCTGGTCACAAGCTTGCCTTGATTAAGTCCCTGCCCTTTGTACACACTGCCCCTCGCTAGTACCCATTGGATGGTTTAGTGAGGCCCTCCGATTGACCACTGGCCGAAGACCCTGGCCCAGCACTGAGAAGACTGTGGAACTTGACTCTCTAGAGGAAGTATAAGTCATAACATGGTTTCTGTAGGTGAACCTGCAGAAGGATCATTAACGGAGAAAGCAGCGGCGCCTCCCGCTACTGGGGCAACCGCTGGGGTACCCCTCATCTGTGTGGTGGGGGCAGGGCGCCCCGGCCACGCTGGTCCCGAGAAAATAGAGAGGGAGAGAAGAGAGGTGGAGGCGCCCAGAGGCGAGGGAGGCGCGCCTCCGCGGTAGTCCAGAGGAGGAGGAGGGTGGCGCCGTGGTCTCTCCGGTGAGCCCCTTCCGCCGCCCTCCCCGCCCCCCGCCCTGTCTGAGGTCACCACGTCCCACCCGCCGGCGAGTCCCCGCCCTCCTATCTCCCTCGAGGTGAGGCGAGTCGGGGGTCACTCCACGGCCTCCGTCTCCGGCGCCGGTCGCCCCCTGACGCGCCCTCGGCGCGTCTGGAGACGAGCGGCGTGGCCGTGTGGACCCCCGCAGGGTGCCCGCTGCCGCCTGCCCTGGACGGTTCCCCGGTCGTCGCCGGCCATCAGCTCCTTCGATCCCGCCCCCGCCAGGTTTCTCCCCATCCGTCTCTCATTCCTCCTCGCCCTGACCGCTCGCGCCCCGCCTCCCGCCGTAGCCACACGCCCTCCGCGGCGAGGGGCCTGGGCCGCGGGTGCGGGGAGGGCCCGAGGGTGGTGTGTCGGCCGTGAGAGTCCCGCCCCGGGTTGGGGGGCACGGGAGTGGGGGGCGTCGGGCGGCGGTGGCGGGTACCACGGGCAGGCAGCGCCGAGGTCTGCGTTCCGCCGGCGGCGGTGCGGTCCCCCCACCTCGCCCCTTTCTTCCAACCCCCCCAATCCAGGTACCTAGCGGGTCCCGGCGCCGTGGAGGTTCAAAGACCCCTGGGAGTGAGTCTGGGGCCTGACCCATCTCCCCCAGGCTCTGCCTCCCCAGGCCAGGGCGCCACGCGGCACCGTGGTACCGGCGGCCGTGGGGAGGGGGTATGCCCAGCGGCCGTTGGGTCGTGCGCGCTTGGGAGTGCACCCCGCGTCCTCCGGGGAGGCGCGAACCCCGGGCGCCTGTGGGGTGTCTGAGGCCGTCCCCGCGGGGCCGGTGCCGGAGGCCCCATTGTCAAACCTTCCGACCTCACGGTGTCCGGTCTGGTTGTCTCTCGCTGGCCAGTCAGAGGCACCATCCGGAGATGTGCCGTGCCAGGGGCGGGCTCCCGCTGCGGCGGGAACCCCGCTGTGCAAACTCGTAGGACTCCTAGCAGTGGATCACTCCTCTGGGCTGGGCTGGTGTGTGGATGAGGAAAGCAGCTAGCTGCGAGAATTAATGTGAATTGCAGGACACATTGATCATTGACACTTGGAACGCACTTGCGGGCCTGGGTTCTTGCCAGGGCTACACCTGTCTGAGAGTGGCTTGATGATCAATCCCGGCACCCACACACCCCCACACACACCCTCCCCTTTCTCCTAAGGGCAGACAGGATGCCTCCGCCTGCGCAGACCCCTCCCCTCCCACCCCGCGCCCGCTTGTCGGTGACCTATGGGAGGGGGGAGGAAGGGGCGCCCCCTGGGAGAGGAGAGACGGAGAGCTCCAGCCCAGGTCCGTGGCCGCTACGGTCCCCTGGGGAGCTCCCTCGCACCGCACGTGGCCTTG